CAGTATGGAAGAAAAAGTTAGATTTGTTCTGTGGGTCCCAAGAAGTTAAACTAGGCTAAGTTAGTGGAAATTCACAAGGAAAGCTTGCAGTTCAACAAATTGCCAACATCTCAACACATAATCTGTGCTGCACCCAGATGCTTGTGAGTGCCCCATCTCTGAAGGAGCTCAGCTCCACTTCAGATGTTCACTGGGGGTGATGGAGAAAGAATTTGGTGAAGAATGAATGGGGAGCTGAACTTGATAGGCTTTGATATCCCCTCCGGCCCACACGGTGTGCCCTCTTGTGATACCTTATTTTAGGGATTTACTGAGATTTTAATTTTCTCTGATTGTAGGCAACAAAGGAATCAGCAAAGTAGAAGTATCTGAGAATGAAAAAGAGAAAGAAAAAGAGAAGGAAAAGATTCCTTTCATTTTAGAAGGCTCTCTCAAGGTAATCCAAGGAAGACAAATAATACTAAGTAATCACAAATCCAAAACTAGTTTGTGATGGGAAGTTTGGCATTAGAACAAAAAATGATCTTTCTGCTGAGCCTTCAGGATAATCAACTCGGCAACGAAGGGACAAGTTCCCCCCACGCTGTCTCCTCAGCCAGATGATAAGTGTGTTAAATTGGGTTGACTAGAAAAACAAGTTCAGAGAGACTCATTGTGTGCCAGAGAGAGCTTTATATTAAAGAGCAATTGTATATTGAGAAAACAGCCCAGCTCAATCAAGATCAAGTCCTTAAGTCTGACACTAGCCCATACGTCTGATACTAGTCTACAATTTCCTCTTCAGACTCATGGAGCACAGGCAATGATGCAAAATGTAGGAAGATCACAGGCCAGTTGGGTGCAAAGTCATGCAGACCCGATGGTGGTGGATGCCTCTCCAGGGCTCTGGCTTTCATCAGTGTGGCTTCTGTGGCTTGTCAATAGGAATGTGAAGCAGAGAGAGAAAGTGGCCCCTTCCAAGGAGAAAGGGAGGACGTTTCCAGATCCTCCTGAGAAAGCCAAGCCCACAAGGACTCCACCTCTATACTTATCAAATTGACATGAAATTCTGTAGCTACTACAATAAGCCTTGGAGGAAAGCTGTGTTTCATTAAAATTTTTATAAGCAGCATCTACAAAAGTACCTTGTTCATATGTAGCATACCCTTTGTTTATGTTGTGGTTGTTTGTGCTTGCATAATTTGTTTTGTTTGTTTGTTGTTTTTGTTTTTAATTATTTTATTGAGGGATCGTACAATTCTTATCACAGTCCATACATACATCCATTGAGTCAAGCACATATGTACATTTGTTGCCCTCATCAATCTCAAAATATTGGCCCTCTACTTTAGCCCTTAATATCATTTGCTCATTCCCCCCCCCCCCCGCTCCCTCCCTCCCCCCTCCCTCATGAACCCCTCATAATTCATAAATTATTATAGTTTTGTCATTAGTTACACTGTCCGATGTCTCCCTCCGCCCTATTCTCTGCTGTCCATCCCCCAGGGAGGAGGCTATACTTAGATTCTTGTAATTGGTTCCCCCCTTCTACCCCACATTCCCTTCACCCTCCAGGCCTCGCCCCTCTCACCACTGGTCCTGAAAGGAGTCATCTATCTTGGATTCCCTGTGTTTCAAGTTGCTATCTGTACCAATGTACATCCTCTGGTCTAGCCAGATTTGCAAGGCAGAATTGGGATCATGATATGGGGAGGGGGGAGGAAGCATTTAAGAACTAGAGGAAAGTTATATGTTTCATCATTGCTACCCTGCACCCTGGTTAGCTCTTCTTCTCCCCAAAGCCCCTCAGCCGGGGGGTGTTCAGTTGCCAACCGATGCACTCTGAGTCTCCACTCTGCACTCACCCACCTTTGCAATGACATGATTTCTTGTTCCTTGATGCCTGACACCCGATCCCTTTGACAGCTCGTGGTCACACATACTGGTGTGCTTCTTCCATGTGGGCTTTGTTGCTTCTGAGCTAGTTGGCCGCTTGTTTATCTTCAAGCCTTTAAGACCCTAGATGCTATATCTTTTGATAGCCAGGCACCATCAGCTTTCTTCACCACCTTTGCTTATGCACACGTTTGTCTTCAGTGATCATATCAGGAAGGTGGGCACCCACTGATCTGATTTTCAGTTCTTTGATGTCTGATAACTGGTCCCTTCTGCACCTCGTGGTCAGACAGGCTGGTGTGCTTATTCCATGTGGGCTTTGATGCTTCTGAGCTAGATGGCTGCTTGTTTATCTTCAAGCCTTTAAGACCCCAGACGCTATGTCTTTTGATAGCCGGGCACCGTTAGCTCTCTTCACCACATTTGCTTATGCACACGTTTGTCTTCAGTGATTGTGTCAGTAGAGCGGGCACCCACTGATAGGATTTTAAGTTCTTTGATGTCTGATAACTGATCCCTTCTACACATCGTGGTTAGACAGGCTGGTGTGCTTCTTCCATATGAGCTTTGATGCTTCTCAGCTAGATGGCCACTTGTTTGTCTTCAAGCCTAGCTTGCATAGTTTTTATTACAATTTTTCATGACAAAAGTAACAGATGCTTTTATAAAAATTACTCTGACTACCCAAAACCCCTAAATTAAGAAATATTAGAAATGTGTTGTGTTCTATGCTCAGACAAGCTTATTTGCACAAATATACAGGGGGATTTTTGTTGTTTTCTTTAAGTTTAGTCTGATATATATATATCAGACTATAATATATATAAATTGCATTTCATTTTTTGTCTGATATTTTTATACCTACTTATTTTCTCTCTTACCAATAAGTCATGAATTTCTCTTCAGGGCAATGTATAGAGGGCTAACTAATTTTCCATAGTGATATAACAGTCCATAATTTGGATACACCATAATGTACCCAACAATTCCCTTATTAATAGACACACATTGTGTGTTTTTTTTGTTTGGGTAATATTTTATTTTTTTATGTAGTCAAATTGATCATTTTGGTCAAGATTTAAAAGACTAGTGATACCAAATGTTGGCAAATAGGTGAGGTAATATGAATTCTCATATACTATTGGTTACAGTGTAAGTTGACACTTCCCTGTTAGAAGAATGGCATATCTGTTGGGAATTTAAGCATATGAAGTCATCACAACTCTCTTTAGCATAGAGAACTCCTTAGTAAGTATAGATATCTAATCAAAACGCCTGTGCCTGTTCCCTAAGACACATGGACAGAATTGCTCTTGAGCATTATTGGCAATTCTCCCAAGCAAGAAACAATTCAAATATCTATCAGTAAAATGCCCTACTTACTCTATAGATATTTGGAGAAAAAAATATGCTCAAGCATCAGTCAATTAAAGAACTACAGAAATTTGGTTTTCCCTTCTTGTAGAAGCATTTACACAAAGTTAATCAAGTGTCTTCACTTTCTTCCAGTCTAACACAAAGTCTTATCAAAGGTATTTTAAATTTGCTTCTCCTCTCCCAAATGACACTATTGCCTAGTATTTAACATGTGTCTTGTTTATCTGGTTTTTTTCTTAGAACCTCAAGTAAAGCATTGCTTCATAAGGTAAACCAGCTTTATCATTGTATCGTTGCTTCATAGATTTTTCATTAGTCTGCCATGTGGCTGGTAAACCAGCTTTATCA